TGAAGGAGAAAGGAGTTATGCGCCGAAACTTGGTTTGGGTCTCTCCCGCAATTTAGGCGATGCGCACTTTTCATTTTGCTTTCTAGGGTGCCGAGGAGACCTCCTATTCCACGCGTAACAGACTCGGAAACGTAGTCTCAAAAAAAAAAAGACTAGGAAACGTGCACCTCAGCGTAGGGACGGGTGTTGGGCCTCAATCTCTGGCCCACCTCCGTTTCTTTCGTTCGCTGGACTATCTCGTGTGTGAGCAAAACAAAAATCGAATTTCTTGTAACATCAGTTGAAATGTCAAGAAAAAAGCATATTTTTTCGCAAATAAGGTTCTGGATTTATATTGAAAATTTCCAACGATGGAAGACATCTGAAAAAACAAGATTTTTTTTATTTTCGGCTGAAAAAAAGTTACAACAAGGTTCTAACAAAGCCAAGCAAAACTCAATCTCCAGAAGCCGAAGGTGAGCCGTTGCTGCCGCTCCATCACTGAAGCCGGCCTGATACTGTATCCTACCATCGGCGGGAAAATCTTCGTGCTAAAGTTCAGTTGGAACAATGCTCTGGAGAAAAAGCCAACATCATAGGAGCCTTGCAATTCAACAATGCTCTGCTCGTTTAAATCTTATCAAGTTCAAAGTAGCAGACTGTCTAGCTACAGGTGGTGCACAACCAGGCCATGCGACCACTGTAAACCTACTGGTTTCGCCAGTTGCTTTGGTGAACGGAATGCCAATTATACAAAAAAAAGGTAAATAAGAACTTGCAGTTCACCAACCGTGACAGCAAGAATTTAAAGCAGAGTAAACCAGTCGCATCAAAGCAAATACGAGCGTGACATTAGAACCAACAACGCGTATAATACTAGTGTGACAAAACATTGCTGCGCTGCTACTCGACATTCTTCAGATGCTGCTGGAGCTAGGAATGCATTCTCAAATCAACTAGGAATCAATAGATCAAGAGCATACAAGAGCTACAGCTAACTTACAGTACTAGAATAAAGACCAAGGCCATCATCAACTCATATCCTCATCAGAAGATTCACTCCCTCCCGTTGTTGGATCGAATACATCAGAGTCGCTGTCCTCACAATAGAAGGGAAATTGTATATCTTCCCTGCCCATATCATATATCCCTTTTAATGGGTGCCTCAATACACCCATTCCTTGCTTCTTACATGCATAACATTCACCTGCCAAAGTAAATCACAATGTTAGAATCTTTTTAGGTCACTACAAGTCATAAGGTGAAAATTTTCCATACCATATCGATCTTGCTCCAAAGGATAACAGGCATATAGTTTTATCATACATATTGATTTGACCTCGGCGAAGTACATCACCGATGTCCAATCAACTAAGCCAGGCTTCTTTATCTTGACAGTAAAGTTGAAGTGATGAAATATCTTTAAATAATTCTCCACACTAAAACATTGATGGACAAGCTCGTCAAATTCATAATCAACTCCCTAAGATGAAACAAATGTTAGTCATAGTTCTCTACGTCCCAACAATAAAGAGGATTTCAGGGCGGGCGTGGAGAACCTTAAGATCATCTTTGCTCTCAATGTATCTTTTGAAAGCCACCATCGCCTCCTCGCTCATCCATCGTTTCGCATTTGCAGCAATTTCTTCTTTCTTAGAAGCATAAGTATGTTGTCCTCGTGCTTGGACTGATTGGGTTTGTTTTTCAACTTGCATGTCTGCATATTCTCTAATAGTTTCAAAGTCGAGTGGCCAATATCCTTGTGCTTGGAAAAATTGAGCTCGTTCTTCATCTTGTCTAATCTCAAAATCTATATCACCTTCATGGTCAAGTGGATAAAATTCTCCAATTATCCCCTGCCTGGATAGAAATATCAGAATCCGGTCAGCAAAACATGGTTCATAATGTGGTCTAGATAGATATACGAGACAACATGGGACAAGATGTAATAAACTGATTCTCAATTTAATTAAAATTGCATTAATAAACAAAGCACTCTTTGCTTAGATATAGGAGAGAAGTCTTGTAATAAACCGAGCTTGCTTTATTCACTTTGAACCAAAGCACTGTTTGCTTAGATATAGGAGAGAAGTCTTGTAATAAACCTTGCTTTATTCACTTTGAACCTTTGATTATAGTATTCTTGTATGGATATAATACAAGTTCACTACACGGAGTTTACTAACCAGGTTCTAGAAATACAGATGATGTGGGGTTCACTATGCCTATCAACTGAGCTATTCTGAATTATGACATGCGGAAGACGATCACATAGCTCCAATTAAAGCTATTTGTTGACCTAAAGAAACATAACAACACGACCGTTTTCAGAATATCAGTATGCATCATATGAAATTATGAATCGACTGTTTCAGCATGCATCACCACCCTAGGTCACAATTGATTTACCTCCATGCTTTAGTCAATGTCAAACAATTTGCTACCTATTAGTGCAACCATACGGGTCATAAAAAGTACCCAAAACAAACAATTATTAACTTACGAAAAGGAAGGACAAAATAAAGATGGACATACTCGTCAGCTGATTCAAGTGTGTGAGGTGTGTCGTTCAGCGTGAGGGTCTCAAACTTAGACAGATCCTTGCTTGCACCCCCAAGCTCAATGCTGCTCACCTCCTCGACATGCTCCCGAGCCCTGATGAAAACAAGCACGATAATGTGTCAGTGACTATTATGGTGAGGGTGGTGGAAATATAGCTAGGATTTGTTGGCATTATCTGTTTTTTTCCATGAGAAGGACAGGGCAACAAAATAGTTAATACACTGTGATTTCAAACGGATATTGAACACACAGATTGATTCGCCACACACTCGTATTTGCTTTGATGTGACTGGTTTACTCTGCTTTGAATACTCCCTGGGACCGAGGCTGTGTCTCACCGTTGATTGAGCTAGTTCACAAACTAAAAGAAAACAAACAATGGCAGGGAGGTGAGGGGGAGGGAATCTCACCCAGTTTCATTTTCGTTCGAAGAGGACGCCGGAGAGCCGGCGGGAGGTGAAGGGGGTCGGCCGCCGGCCATCGCGAGGAGCCGGCGGAGGACAACCTAGGAGAAAGGAGTTATGCGGTGAAACTTTGGTTGGGTCTCTCCAGCAATTTAGGCGATGAACACTTTTTGTTTTGTTTTCTAACTATAGGGAGGAGGAGACCTCCTATTCCACGCTTTAACGCCCGGAACAGACTAGGAAACG